GTGTGTAACCCCCCTTTGGTGCCTCTCGTACCAGGCTCGGCCTTGTCTCAGGCCACCTGGAATTTAGGCCCTGTGATATGTGCATATGTGATCCTACAGTCCATAAGCATTTCATGCTTTGGACCCTTAAAAATAGATACTTAACAGGTGATTTCCTGTGAGAAATCTTCCCTGCAATTCCACCATGGCTCTTCTAGTTCAAATCAGCTTGGTAAGGCAAGCATAATGATGTGTGTAAATCAATATCCTGTGCACCCTGTGAAACACTATAGAAAAGTATATTCTTTAGAGCGTTAGAAGTCTTTTGGTAGACTGCAGGTTCACCACAACCCTCATCTAGATAAAAGGTTTTGAAAGGAAGATGGGCGGGTCAAAGCTATAGAAATTAAAGGTTCAATGGTTGATGATATAAACTACAATTTATTCAGGATATTGTATTGGCTACAGTGGTTGTTCAACATTGAATACATTAAATAAAAATGAGCATATTGAAGTTATATGGGTATTTAAATGAACCCATTTGAACCCCCACTATTTTGGCAAGTGCCAACTTGCATGGTTATAGCCATCACACCTTGCCAGGTAATAAGATTAGTCTACTATGCTACTGACCAAAGTCTTTATGTTATCTCCATGGAATCACATCGCAGTCACCTCAGTCAGCTCCAACATGCACCAGTTGATACACAAATGCATTATTTCATTTCTGAAAGTAATTTTTAAATGACTAGCTGGAGAATTCAGTGGAGAAAGATAATATCTCATTAATTTCTATCCATAATTTCCAATGAAAGGCTCCAGGAAACTGTTCATATTTCCCCCTTGTGGAAAAGACAAAGTTCCAGAACAGTAAATGCGTCAGCCGTAGCATTCTGGAAGCGCTGCCAACCTGTTGGCAGCACACTGGGCTGTCAAACGGGCTTCCGGTTCATGGTCCCAGCAATCTTCTAGAATGTCATTCATGGCAGAGAATGCCTGAAATGCAAACCGTTATGGAATAAGCAAAGCAGTCCATACTTCTGATAAAATAATTCATCGTATCGCAGAAAGAAAACAGTATATATTGTCAATATTAATAAATCAGTTTAAAAGAAATGCATTTACTCCAGCAATGCACTTATCTTCATATTCAAAACACCAGGCTATGTATCTCTAGTAAGACTTCACAACACATAATGACTGAGTTTATTATACATAACAAGCTGGTTCAAGGTACTTCCGACCAAAAGAAACTGCATAACGTCAAGGAGATCAATTGTCTTCTTTTTATTGACTTGCAACAGAAATGTAACATTTTTTTCTTCTTTTAAGTTTTTGTTAGTGTTCATAAATATTGCCTTAATTTATTTCTTTGCATTTTATTTCTTTAGCAGATGCTAAGCAACATTTTTTTTGAGAAGGTAGGGTCACCCAGTTCCTGGGGCAATTGGGGGTTAAAGGTCATGCTATACAGTGGAAACTGATTACAGTGATCACGTCTGTCAGGGTGAAATTGATCACAATAAGTGGATGATCGTTATAACCGATTTTTGTGTCAGGCAGATTACCATCTAATTGACATTAATATATTTATTATACATAAATATAAGGTCATAAAACGGACAGCATTGTTAATTACTGAATTTTATTGACCAATACAAAATACAGTACAGAACTACATAATATGCAATTCAGTTTTATTTATCAACACATTTTCACGTTACATTGTATCAAAGCGCTTATTGTAGTTTCCCTGCTGCATCTTGGTGGCTCAATATTGTCATAAGCTTTGATGAGTCTATATTTGTCATTGAGAGAAAATTACTCTTTTTTTCCTGTCATGTTTTCTGTGCCTGCAGCATTAGCCTCAGGTAGCTAGGAAGAGAAAACAGGCTACAGCAAGTCTAAGTATGATGGTCAAGGTAAAGTAAAAAAATAAAATAAAATTACCACAACTTTAATTTTTTGTTCTCATGTTTAAAAAGACCCAAAATGAACACTGTAAGTGGACTACTAGATTACTATAATCAAATTATTTAAACAGTATTTGTACAGGAATGATTCTGTCCCAAGCTTTTTAATCCTTATAAGCGGATGATCACTAAAACTGTGATCACCATATGCGATTTCCGCTGTATTCCCATTAATATTTCACTGAACCCTGATCAACTGAGGGGTATGGCATTTGCTCCACTCTTTAGTAGAGCTATGACTAAGGACAAAATTCACTTGGTGTAAATGACTTGCTATCAGAACCCAATACCCACAAACACATACAGCCTGCCATGGTACAGTACCTGTGTGAATTGTCTCCATGGTATGGGTAAAGTGGGACGCTCTCTCCTCTGAGATACAAACAGGATGAGATCATCCAGTGATGGACTGGGGCCCAGCTCTGCTTCATAAGGCAGCTGGTGCTCTGGAACTGGTGATTCTATGGTTACAAGAAACAGAACCATCGCTACAGCAACAATTCCCACTAGGATTCAAGTACATTTCCTTGTTGGATGTTTTCAGGATAATTCAGTCAAGAAAAATCAGACATCGATACGTAGTACATTGACTTTAAGAATGGGCTGTTAAGGTGTTTGAAAATTGCCTGTTACTTACTGCTAATCTTATCAACTTATTCTTTCTCCCAAAAGGTTTAACCAAACAGAGCCATCCATCCACCCATCCACCTCTTTATCCATCTTCCAACTGTTTGCTCTACACTGGACTGCAGGGCAGCATTGACCCTGGTAATGGGTGGCACTGTTACCTTACACATCTTGCCACCCCTCTATGTGTATGTAGTTCTTCCTGTCTATGGATTTCCTCAGAGTTTACCAGTTTCCTCCCACATTCTAAAGACAAGCAGTCATGCTAAGTAATCTCTAAAGATTTTTTTATTTTTTCACGTGTCTTACTGCTTTTTCATCTTGCATTTGTGCACATTTTTGTGCGTCATTATATATTTTTAACATAGAATTTTATTATGCATTTTCATGATTGTACATATGTAAATATTGCTGAAATATGCAAATCAAGAAACAGATAAATCTAGATGACACTGGAATTGTAGTGTGGGTTTGTGAGGAGATTTTTAAAAAATTTTGCTGTGGAGATTGAATGTTGTTTTTAATGTCAAATTCTGAGTACATTTTCCTTAAAAATGAATTCACTCCTTCTTTTAGCTTTAGTACTCATAGTGGCAGTTAAATGCTGCAGAAGGTCTACTCACAGGTTCTGTGTCCATCCCAGGATATAACAGGATGTTGTGCCTTGTGTTTGTGGGAAACAAGGTGGATAAAAATGCATACAAACATTTTAGGATGTGTTTGTATTCATTATTTTATGTCATCAATAAGAGTGTATAGTGCAGAGAAATCTGTGCAGCAGGGCATTTTCAAAAAGCGTTGCAATACAGTGCACCAGTGGAAACATCATTTATTGCTTTGTATGCAATGTATGATGTTCTACTGGATCACAGAATGTGCACATTGATGAAAAGCACAAGGCAACTCACATAGTGGGAAATAAGGAGTTTGTAGTGCCTGCAATTGCGTCTGTGTGCCCTGTGATGGATGGATGGCAGAATCAATGGATGGATGGACAAATGGATGGAAATTTTGTTGGATAAAACCATCACCTACAAAATTATATGCAATGAGTGTCAGCTAAGGGAGTCTTTCCCAGAACTCAGCCGCTATGCTTTCGGAAAGTTGTTGGGAAAATAACAGGAGCACCTGGCAAACAATCTGAAAATGATTACCTGCATAGAGGTCAGAGCAGCGTGACCATAGCTCCCACAGCAGCAGACCCAGTGCATACACATCCCCCTGGATCAGCCACAGGTCATTGTTCAGGTTCACGCAGCCCTCCAGGATCTCTGGGGATGTGTAGCATAGTGTTCCCACCTGGCTTCTCAACTGGCAAATTGAAAACACCAAAGAGATCCAGCCACAATTGAACTGGCCACCATACTCTTGATGCATATTTCCTTTAATTGTGGGTTTTACAAATAGTTTGAGAGCTGGATGCTTTAAACATTGTGCACCTCATAGCGTGCAAATATTTCTGCATACATTGGCATGTTTCTTTGAAGTTCCTGGTGTCCCTGTTCCAAATGTTACCAGTCTGCTCCAGTCACAAGCTTGGCTCACCCCATGGCTAGGCAAATGCCAAATGATCAAAGAATTTTTTTTTGATTATCAGAAAAATTAGGAAAACAAGCCAAAAATCAGTTTAAGATGGACTTTTGCAGTTCCTACACCAAAACACCCCCCACATGGGTAAGTGGAGAATCATTTGGCCTATCCTATGTCTTAGAGTTAGACTGGGGCCTGTTAAAGACCTGGGGCTGATTGCACAAAACACCTGAAGTTATGATTTTTCTTAAAGTTCAAGTCAAGTTTTTGTTAAAATAACGGTGTAAAATCAGTTGCAGAACAACCCATAAGGAACAGACCGAATGTGCTTTGTGTAACTAATTTAATTTTAAGGAAATCATAACTCATGCTTTAAAGGAAAACTTTATTTAAGGTTTTTTGTGCAACTGGCCCCTGGAAAAGAAACTCATAGCTGTAGTGTCATGTCAGGCATTCACTTGACAATAAGGGTCACCTGGGGACTTTCTCTCTGCTTCTGCAACCTCGGCTGTCCTGAACAAGTTCGCAAGACTGTTGCGCACCCGAAGTTACAGAGAGTGCATGTGCCATCCACCCGCACCAGCACGTTGCTGCTGCTGAGGTCGCCATGTGTGATAGCTGGTTTGTGCAGCTCTGGCACACCCATGGGTTAGGAAGTGTAATCAAACACAAAATAAACAGAAGCATGAATGAATAAGCATAATGATAACAAGGCAAACATATAAACAATATTGGAACATTCTTGAAACAGAACATGCTTCCTTAGATTCAAATCATGGCTATAATATCTATTCATGGATTATTTTGTTTGCAGCCCTTCTTACCATTCCTGTACATGTCAGTGTGAAGAAAAGCCAATCCTTGAGATAATGTCTGTGCCATTTTCAAAGACGACAGCCAGTCAATGCTGTATGAGGACAGGAATGTTTTCAAAGGGCCCTGGGTGTCAATGAAGAAAGACAGCCTTGAATTTACCTTTTTGTGGCTTAAACTTAATCATCATGAAGGCTTTTATCTGAAAAGTAACTTTCACTGCTCTACGTTATTTGTGCTTAATTTTTTCATGTTCATTATTTTCTTAAACACCTTTTAGTTGGAGGGGGGCGGGGATGAGACTTTCAGGCTCGCAGTGGGAGGGATCAGTATGTACTATAAATTAATTCCTGAATTAAATTTTAATAGTGAACTGGGAGATAATCCCATCATTGTTTGTTTTAAAGTCCCACTTCCTCTTGCCTGTTCCTAGCATTTATTCACACATTCTACCTATGGGTCACAGCACAAATGTATGTATGGCAGAATTCCAGGCATCTAACTATCTGAAAGGGGAAAGTCCCCAGAAGATCCTCCAGAATATGTTAGACACAGTGAAATGAAAAATTATTACCTTCTTCCTGATTAACTCTATTATTGCATATTTCTTACTCTGGATGTTTTCAGATCTTGAGGCAAAATCAAATACTAAAGGTAGTCTGAGTAAACAAATGAACGAACAAGCACACACATAAGTAATAAACAATGTTTGAGAGTACAACTGAGGATAAGAGAGCAGAGTCAGATAGTGTTCCTCAAGCAACTGGGGTTGAGTACCTTGCTCAAGGGCCCAATGATATAATCATTCTGCATTCTGCTGGCTATGGGATTTGAACCCACACCCTTCTGAGCACAGATCCCTGACAAAAATTAATATGATGATTATCAAAACATTTATAGAGATGTTGTTACTTGTGTTAATAATCAAAGTATAGTTTTGAATGCACTCACATATTTAGCCAACTCCAGCAGAAGGACCCAGTGTCCTCCTGTAGGTTCCATCCCAGCCCCCAGGAAGTACACCAGCCCGGGATGTTCCATGAGAGGCAGTCCAAACACCTCCCTCTCCTTTATGAAGGAGCGTCGGTGTGCAGCAGGGAACACCTTCACTGCCACGGTAGCCTTGTTCAGGCAGCCCTGCCACACAGATGAAAAATGGCCACTCACCACCACCTATAAGCCAGAAACAGCTCGCAGAATCAGGGAGACATTCAACTGGGTGTAATATTTAAATTCAAAATTTGACACATATTTAATTTGGCAATTTAACCTTTTTAACCTCTGAATCCTTTGGGTAAAAAAATATGTTTTTTGTATATATATATAAACAGCATTTTGGTTCTGGAGACACAGTGTCCCTCAAAAGACACATAAATAAATATGATCAGTTTTAGAACTATTTTTAGCATTAAGATGATGCTAGAGAGATGGAGAATACCGCTTCTTTCAAAAAGATTTATGACCCAAAGGTCAAAAAGGTCACGGGTCAAAAGTTCACTGGATGGGCGGGTCTGGGGCGTGACGTCACCTGGCTGTGAGCCAGCAACGACTAGTGA